TTGAATCAGTCCATCTTATTGATGGTCTCTCTCTTTCTCTGTCCCTTTGCCCTTCCAAGCATAATGTCCCTCTCTAAGGACCAGTCCTTCCTTTGATATAGATATATATGCTCTGGTGACCTAGTGATTAAGGAGTTGCAACTTCAACCCCAAAGCAACAGTTTTGAATCCACCAGCTGGTCCTAAAGATGGCCATTCTCCTCTCATGTGATTTACATGACCTGTGGAAGATCAGCTATGACCTAGTTCCAATTTTATGGCAGTGAGTTGTTTCATTATATGCGTGTGTGTGTGTGTGTGTGTGTGTGTGTGTGTGTGTACATATACATACTCTTTCTTATTTTTATTTCAGGTAGAAGAATCACATCAATACAGGTATGCATGTCTTTATTTTTTTAGTGTTAAGATGTTTATTCACTCACAGATTATTTTAAATCTCTATTTCTGCTCAATCCTGGCAAATCTGATGGCATATTAATCAGTGACCTTTGTTTTACAGCATGTGAGTCATTCTTTTTTATTTAATTTTAATATTACATTGGTTTACACACAAAATTTGTATACATTCTGTTCCACATTATCCGTTATTCTTATTGTGTTTCATACAATCATTCCCATTTATTGTGTTTTATAAAATTAATCACCACTGAACTATGCCCACCATTACCCTGTCTTTTCAGCTCCTTGCCTGATCTTCCCCATGTCCTTGCCCCCTCCATCTATCCACCAAATCGTGTGGCACAATGTCCCCCAGCACACCATCACGCCTCTGATCCCACTCCTTTGCTCCTTGGCCTCCCATACACATTATACTAGTTACCCTTCTATGTTTCTAATAATGGTTTTCTATTGTATTTGTCCTTATAAGACTGAGTTAGTTCACTCAGCAAAATGCTCTTCAATCTCTCCCAAGTTATACACTAATATTCACAGTCATTGCTCCTGCATGCTGTGTAGTATTCCATCGTGTGAATGTACAACAATTTCTCAATCCATTAAGTTGTAATGGGACATTTAGGCTGTTTCTGTGTTCTTGCGATTGTGACTAACACTTCTATGAACATTGGTGTACAACTCTCTATTGGTGTCTCAGTTCTGATTTCCTTGGGGTATATTCCTAGCAGTGGAATAGCTGGTACATATGGAATTTCTGTGTTTAGCTTTTTGAGGAAACTCCAAACTGCCTTCTAGAGTGGTTGTACCATTTTACAGTCCCACTAACAATGTCTGAGAGTTCCCTCCTCTCTACAGCCTTCCGAACATTTATTGCTTGCTGTCCTTTTAAACTTTGCCAATATGTCAGTCATTATTCAAATGTATTGGTCATGAATTTTAATTCCAAGAAGCTGGTATTATTATAGCCAGATGCATTCTGCTGTGAATTTTGGCTGACAAAGTGTGATAGTCATGTTTTGTGAATGTCTGCATTCCTTGGTAATGCTGTGGCCCTTCTGTTTCATTAACATCAAGTTTTGTCAGTATAAACAATGGAAAGGCAACCATTTTTTAAACAGAAATTCAGAGGCTAAGTCTAAAAGAAACAAGATGTGCTATCTAGATCTAAGGTAACATTTAAATGCTTGTTATGACAGACCGCCCTTATCTAGAAAATAGGTGATCAGTGTCACTTCAGAAATCAGATCTGAGCTTTCAATGTGACCACAGTTTGTGGCAACGTATTTGCCATCCACCCTGGGATGCTTAAAAATGTCTATGATACACAGGGAGATGTTTTACCCACACCGTCTTTAGGATTGGAGGTAGGAAGGAGCTCTCATTTTATTCAGAAAGTCAATGGGCAGTTTGCCATTGGTTTATTGTTGTTATTTTCTATTGAACTGTCTCTTACTCAGAGAAAACTTGTGTAAAAGAATAAAACATTGCCGGGCATGTGCTATGATTGTCACTGTTGATAGCTTTGAGTCCATTGTTGCAGCTATTGTGCACTGTCTTTCAACATAAGAGATTCATCTTGCAGTGCTGTGTTGTCTTTGTTGTTGTTGCTAAGTGCCGTTTAGTAAGATTCAGTTCATAGTAATCTCATTTACAAAAGCTGGAAGCCTTGCCCGGCCTGCACCATCCTCACAATCTTCATCATGGTTAAGTTCAGGGCTGCAGACACTGTCAATCTACCTCATTAAAATTCTTTTTCATTATGCTCTTTTTAAAGGACTGGACCCTCATTAGCCTGTTGTTGTTGTTGTTGTTGTTGTTGTTGTTGTTGTTTGGTGCCATCAAATCCAGTATAATCATAGCAACCCTATGAACAAAAGATCTGAACCCTGATCTGTCCTGTGCCCTTGTCACACTTCCTGATACACAAGAGGCCATGTCAGCAGGCTTGTGTCAATCCACCTGGTTGAGGGTCTTCCTCTCCTTCACCCTTCCCAGCATCATGTCCTTCTCCAAGAAATAGCCCCTTTTAGCAACAGGCCCAAAGTCTGTGAAGTGAAGCCTCACAATTCTTGCCTCCACAGACCACTCTAGCTGCACCTTCTTCAAGACACAGCTATTCCCTTGGCTGTCCATGACATGTTCAGTTCTCTTCTCCAACACCACAGCTCAAAGGCATCAATTTCTTTCTCTGTCATCCTTACTCATTGTCCAGCTCTCAGATGCATTAGCAAGTAACTGAAAAGACTATGGTCTTGATCAGATGCAACTTAGCCCTATATTGAACAATTTTGTCTTGTGTTACAGAAGTTTTTAATCAGATAATTGACAGAAGAAAGTTGTTAGGCCTGTCTTCTTTTTTTTTTTTTTTAGGCCTGTCTTCTTGATCTAAGTCTGGAAGTTTGATTGAAATCTCTCCATTAGGCTTCATCCAAATGCACCTCTCAGGACAGGGCCAGAAAGGGCTACCCTGGGTCATAACATTTACATGCATGATTGTTCCTATGGTTTGCTGTTGGAAGCTATAAATAATTATCTGCCAGTTTACTGAATTCGGAGCAGGATTCGCATGTTGCTACTTATTTTACAGCTTAAATGTGTATGTGCTTGTTTGTTTAGTGTTTGCTGTTAGTTTACTGTACTGGGGTAACTTGTGTGTTACTGTGATGTTGAAAACTGTGCCATTAGTGCTTCAAATGCTAGAGGCTCACCCACAGTGAACAA